GTTCGAGTCTTTACGTGACACCGAACACCCAACTGGCACCTCCGTCGGACCTACTTACACCAGGTGAGTTCATACCCGTGAATGAACCTTTTAATGTTTTTACATGTTTTATATGGGAAGGGGAATACAAGTTAAACATGCCAGTTATCATATCAATCACATGTGATTGATAACCCGCATGCACGAGATTTTACCACACTGTACACCGTTTTACCGAGTAGGATACTATAATGGTTTTCAAAAAGGTTTTGAATTGTTTCTAAACTCTTACTTGTACTGTTGTATCTATAATCATTTCAAACTGGTTTATAAAGGTTCCAAAGATTTCTACAGGTTTTCAAACTTATTTTACCAAAGAATACCAAAATGTGATTTTCCTAAGTATAAAGGTTTTCCAAGGTTTTCCAAGGTTTTCGTCAAATTCTCTTTCACTTCGTATACTTATACTTGTTAGTTACCGCTGCTTCGCTTTCACTTATTGTAAAATCCTACCTGATAACGCTTTCACTTCTTGATACGCTTATACCTGTTATTGCCTCTATTTCGCTTATACTTGTAGTCACTTATACTTGTTATACGCTTCTACTTCATCAGTTGTCGATTTCACTTCGTGATATACTTATACTTGGTGCACTTATACTTCACGATTCGATTAATCCACACTATTCGCTCACACTGTATGATTCAGTTGTTCCACACTATTCGCTCACACTGTATGATTTAGTTATTCCACACTATTTGCTCACACTGTACGTTATACATCACGATTCGGTTATTCCACACTGTACGCTTATACACCGTGACCCAGTTATACATCACGATTCGTTTCCACTTGTTACACACTTAATCGTAGTTAGATGTATGTCTGTACTTGTATAGGTGCATATAAATAATGATTGAAGGACTTAGGAAGGTTTGTCCGCCCTATTTCCTTTTCTTCGTTGAGATGTGGTCTGGTGGGATCGGATGGCCATCCGAAGGTCGTTTGGTTCATTTGTTGTATGTTATGTATACGAGTATAGACATATAGGTTTACATTAGTCAGTCCAGTTATGAGTCTCTACCCCTAGTTCAGCACTTACATACGAGTATAGACATATAGGTTTACATTAGTCAGTCCAGTTATAGACGCTTGTAAGGCGTCAGGTACTCTAGTGTCGGTTAGTATGGTTACGAGTATCCCAGGTTGCCTTATAATTCATGGCCTTAAGGTAATGGTATTTCACCGGAAATTTACACTGTATGTTGGTAACTCATTTTCAGAGTCACACCGTTTTGACCTTGCAAGATGTATCTTTCATTTGATACTGTCTGCGGTCTGTATTCTCTGTTGTGACCTTGCAAGATGTATCTTTCATTTGATACTGTCTGCGGTCTGTATTCTCTGTTTTGACCTTATATGATGTATCTTTCATTTGATACTGTATGCGGTCTGTATTCTCTGTTTTGACCATGTATGATGTATCTTTCATTTGATACTGTCTGCGGTCTGTATTCTCTGTTGTGACCTTACAAGATGTATCTTTCATTTGATACTGTCTGCGGTCTGTATTCACTGTTCTAGACCTTACCAGCTGTACCTTTCATTTGGTACCTTCTGGGGTCTGTGTCTCCATTTGTTAGACGGAACCAGGTGTGTCGTTCGTTCGATACTCTCCTGGAGTCTATGATTCCTTTGCCTTAGTCAGCAGTCCTCACTGCTGAGGCATGTGTTATTTCCCTGACTTCTCTTGCTTCCTTTCATAATCAAATCCAGTATTTTGATAATGATAACGATTAAGGGAAAACTACTTTTTACCACATAACTCCGTCCAGTCTTGGTAGAAGGCTGCTTTTATTAAAGAAAATATAGGATTTTCTGGAAAGAACTCTAATACACTGTAAACTCTTAACTACTACATTATAAAGTTATTTGAATAAAATGTCACTAATTACTTATGAACTCACCAGCATTTGTAAAAATGCTGATACTCGCTTTTCAAATAACTTGTATTCTCAGGTCAGCATTAGACAGGTACATCCTCGGAGCTGTTGATGAAGATAGCTTAGTACCATGCTGTTCTTATTATATTTACTTGTATTACTTCGATATATTGTAATGTGATCCATGTAAAAACTATTACTATTAATGCAATGTTTTGTTGTACTTTGATTACTATAATGCATGTGTTGTGATACTTGACATGACGTCATCCACCCCAGAACCTTTCCGCCGTTCCGATTTTGGGGTCTGACATACCTATTCCTTAGGATAATCCTTAGGAATGAATGAATGAGAAATAGCTCATTCTTAGGGTAGATCCTTAGGAGTAAAGAAGATAATGGAGATGGGTAATTGGGTTAACTGTTTGATGATTAAACATAATAATTATATTATTGTGGGTTGAAAACCCTATGTACTCACTAGGTTTCCCAACCCGACCCACTTAGTTTATTTATATCACAGGTGCTTATATGAAGTCATATTACACTGAGAGATTAAGGAGATATAAATCACTAGTGATAATGAATGTAAGTTCTGTTTATGCTTATGTTTTTGTATTGACGATGACATCCCAAATGTTTTAAAATGAATAAAAATACATTTCTTCGGAAATGCCTTGATAACGTATTTATCATGTTTTACTGAGAACAAATTCCGCAACATTTTTATTAAAATAGGTACTATGATTTTTATAAAGCATAAACAAAATCGATCTTTTCTGGCCGTGAAAATGGGGATGTCACATAATGTTTGGCGGCTACATTTTGCCTCACTCGTAACCCTAATTATGAATAATACATGACTATTTATAGGGAATAAGACAAGTCTTGGGCTTTTAACCTACACTTCATCAAGGGAGACCATTTCCTTCCATTTAGTACTTTAAACTCTACAGAGTTTGGCAAAGAGACCCTCTGTCTCCCTTCTTATTTATAATTGTCATGGAAGGTTTAAGTGTGGCTATGGAGGAAGCTAGAGATCAAGGTATCTTTAATGGGATTAAAATACAACATGATGGGCCAACCTTATCTCACTTGTTCTATGTAGATGACATGTTTTTCGTCGGTGAATGGTCACGTACAAACCTTAATAACTTGGCTTGTATAATCAAATGCTTTCAAATTTCATCCGGACTCAAAGTGAATTTTCATAAGTCAAAAGTGTTTAGTATTGGTGCAAATGATCTGGAAGCAGCGAATTGGGCCAACATTCCCAGGTGTGATGTGGGTACTCTTTCGTATAATTATCTTGGAGTGCCTATATAAGTAAACATGAATCTTGAAAAAAATTAGAGACCAATAATTGGAAAATTCCAATCTAAAATGTTGTCATTCGGTGGGAGGCTCACATTGATAAAGTTGGTGGTGGGAAGCTTGCCTACCTACTTCATGTCACTTGTTAAGGCACCATCGGGACTGATAGAGGATCTCGAAAAAAATAAGAAGAAGCTTTCTATGGGGTGGCCAAGAAGACAAAAAGAAAATTCACTAGGTGATGTGGAATAAGGTGATCTCCCCTAAAACAGCTGGTGGGCTTGGGTTGGATCCATCAAGGCTTTAAATTTAGGCTTGATTGCTAAGTGGTGGTGGCAACTGAAATCACACAATACTAATTTATGGACTTAGGTTATTGTTGGGATTCATAATCTAAATGGAAAGCCGAAAGAGTATTTAGCAAATAAGGCTATAAGTGGGGTATGGAACAATATAGCTAATGCAAAAAAAAAAAAAAAAAAAGACATTACAAAAATAGGGCATTAAACTAAAGGATATATTTAAACGCGAGGTCAAGTCGGGCAAAAACACTTTATTTTGGCTAGCCACGTGGTTGGGTTCTTGTTCGCTTAAAGAAAACTATCCTTTTCTGTTCGATCTAGAAACAATAAAAAGATGTATGGTGGCTGATAGGGTACACGCAGGTGGGTGGTCATGCGATTGTGAATCTTGTCCCAATGCAAATGATTTGACTCATGACATAACAAACATACAACATGAACTTGACAATGTGCAACTAGCTTCGGGGTCGGATATATGGAGATGTAAGTTAGATTCCAATGGATGCTACACGGTTAATTCCTTACAGAAATTGATAGATCCTCATCCCCCAACAAACCCCGAATCCATACAGGTGAATTGGTGTAAGCAAATTCCATCAAAAGTTTTATGCTTCATATGGAGAGCTATGTAGAAGAAAATCCCATATGGGGTAGCTTTAAGGAGGAGAGGAGTTGTGATTGATACAATATTGTGTAGTTCCTGCATTGATGGTATTGAATGCACTGATCATTTACTAGTCAAGTGTCCGTATGCGTGCATGATCAGAGATCATATTTTCACTTGGTATCAAGTGCAACAAACATCCCTCAACAGTGTGGAAGACCTTCTGAGATTTGTAGCTACATGGGGTGGAAGTTCGAAGATGAGTAAGAGGTTCACAACAATATGCCACAGTCTTCTTTGGAGTGTATGGAAGTATAGAAATGAAAGGTTGTTCCAACAGGGTGTTTACTAATCCAGTTAAAGGGGCAAAATATGTCAAATCCATGGTATTCTTTTGGTTAAAACACAAGGGTAAATTGGAAAACTGTAAGTTGGAAGAATGATTGCACTACCCCTTTAGTTCTCTGTAATTCATTTAATTGTTTTGTAATCTTTATTTGTACCCTCTAGCTTCTTACTAGGTTGTGGCCTTATTTAATATATTTGTTATTTAAAAAAAAAAGATATCATTTATATCATCCTAGCATAGTTGATGTCATGATAAGTAAATATACCAATGATTATGTCTAAAAGGCCACAACTTTCTAAAATATTCCAACAATTGTTCCTTCTATCCCATTTTTCTCTAGCCTTATGGGTGGGACAAAATTTTAATCTATTAATCCTATTTGACTTTGGTCAATGTTTATGCTACCTAAAGAATAATTTTTGCGAATATTATAACAAATTAATTATTCAAAAATTCAAATTACATTAGCTTCCTAACTTTTACAAAAAATTTTAGAGAGATAAATCAACTATCTAGCATTCAAAATCGAAATGGTAAGCTCATTGGTCGAATCTTTTCCATATGTACTCGTGGAATAACTAGTATCTATTGAATCCTTTTCATAAAAGAAACCTGGCAACTTAGGTTGAGGCAATTCACCCTCAGTACTCCCCAACATTAGAACCACAGTCGCCATTGTTGGTCTGTCTTCAGGTCTCTGTTGCACACACAGCAACCCCACATGGATCGATCTCATCACTTCCGATAAATTCATCGATTCAATATTAATACATTCTTCAACCAGTTCCAAAGATTTCCCTTCGTTATGTAATCCCCATGCCTGAAAAAAAAACCCATAAACGCATTGAAGAAGATGAACAGTGGTTAATTCAATTGAAAGTTGAAACAAAAACTAACATGACCGATAAGATTGTGGGTGTATTCTGTATGAAAGAATCCTCTATTTTCTTCCCGCTCACAATCTCCAGCATTACAACACCGAAGCTAAATACATCTGATTTGATCGAAAAGATTCCATCTCCTGCATATTCTGGTGCCATATATCCACTGCATTGAATTTAAGAAATTTTATTAAATTTGGGTATAATATGATTGATGATTGATGATGGATGATTCTCACTATGTTCCAACGACTCTGTTTGTGTTTGCTTGAATTTCATTTCCTCCAAAGCTTCTTGCCATTCCAAAATATGATATTTTAGGGATCATTTCATGATCAAATAAAATGTTGCTGACTTTAAGATCTCTATGGATGATTCTTAATCTTGAATCTTGATGACGATAAACAAGTCCCCTTGCAATCCCTTTGATGATCTCAAAACGAGTAGCCCAATCTAGTTTTTTGCTTTTAGTTCCATCTGTAGGAGGTTTTACATCTAAAAGTTAATAAATGTATTTCCATATATTTGTTTATTATAGATTCCCACTTTCAATTTTTTGAATACAACATTGTATAATTTTATAATTAAAAGGAATGAACATAAGATGCTATAGTAAAAAAAATAATTCAAAGTAAGTTGTTTCTAACATTTAACCCTTTTTTTTTAAGGTATTGTACTTAAAAAATCTACCCAACTATAAGAATATAGTCATTTTTTTTATATAATTAGAACATTATACTTTTAAAAATCTACCCAAAAATAGCAATGATAGATTATTTTTGTGTGTACAATGATGTAATTGGAAAAAAAACAAAAGTAGGATGCTGTAATCATACCAAATATAAAGGAGTCGAGGCCCTTGTTTGACATGTATTCATAGACCAACATTTTATCTGCTCCCTTGATGCAACAACTTAAGAGCTTTACAAGATTTCTGTGTTGTAGTTTAGAAATACAAATAACTTCATTCTTGAATTCATCAAGCCCTTGAGTTGAAGTTCTTGAAAGCCATTTTACTGCTACTTTTTGTCCACCTTCCAACACGCCCTGAAATTCACCTTTAAAGTAAATTCTTCTTTCTTTTCGACTTAATGACTTAAGCACTTAATATAGGAATATCTATTTATATATGCATCTAATATTAGGTTATGCATTTTTTACCTTATAAACATGCATCTAATATTAGGTTATGCATTTTTTACCTTATAAACAGGTCCATAACCACCCTCTCCAAGTTTATTGTTATCCGGAAAATTGTCAGTGGCTTTATCTAATATAGAAAAGTCGATCAATGGCAACTCTAGATCATCTTGTGAGTTTTCATTGTTGTCAGAATCATGTCCTCGGTCTTTTTCTTGTAGCTCTATTAAAGAGCCAATGTCAATTGATATTTTATAATTGGGAAAATTACAAGAAATAGTAACGTGAATACATATACTATCATTTCTTATGATCTATTTTATAAGTTATATTTTTTTCAAAATATAAAAACAAAACTAAATATAGTTTAGATTGAAAATAGTGACAACCACAATTTAAAATTAACAAAATATAAAATGTGTTTTGTTTTTAATTATGCAAAATGCCAATTTATCTCAGATGGTTGAGCATAACTTTGTTATCATCGACAAATGGGGATACACCCAATCAAGTTAAAAAAAAATATAATCAATACAAAAAATACGTTGTCATTAAACACAAAACATGTTACTATTTTTAGTAATTTGAAATTCAAATCAAACTGATAGATGATTAAAAAACCAAAATAGTTACCTTGAATTGGCTTCTTCCTCCTCTTCAAGCCATAAAAAACACAAACAGAAACTAGTATGATCAATAACAATATCGATATTACAAGGACAGAGATCTCTACCCTTCTCTTAACACTCGAGCTTTTACCATTTATTTCTGCAATAACAAATATTTCATGTTAAAACAATAATCAAAGTTATTAACGAAAACAAACTAAAATTAATTTATTTATTTACCTCCTAATTCCGATTTTGGCATTCTTATATAGATATCCTGTCCATTTTCTGTATATACTCTGTTATCGATAAGCTCCCCAAACCATAACAAGCATCCACTTCCACTTCCACTTATATTCTGAGTAGCGTAAGCACTACAAGAACAGTTCTTCTTGCAAACCTTCTCACATTCATCAAGATTCATACTTTGGTTAAACCTCGACCACCGTGTGTCAGGTAACTTCACGTCGGAATACCTCTTAAACCCTTCCTCCGCCCCACACTCCAAATGGGTTTTCCGGCGACACCCTTGACTAAAATCCGCCACAGCCCATTGCCCCGGTGACACCGGCTCAAACCCTTCCAGACACCCACAAGCCGGCGAGTTGTCGATATTGCAGCTCCCGAATGGACCACAGAGATTGAAACGATCACAGTTATCAGTCTGTGGAGTTAAATAAAGAAACCATTCTTGTGTTCTTTCGATCCATAGCAGCCGTTCGACGCTTCCGGTGGGTGTTACGATTAATTTAGTGATTACTGAAGTGTTGATAAGTTCATAGTGGTAATACATTTCTTTTTCATCGAGAACAAACCCAAATCTGTAGATCCGGTTTGGTTTTAAATTAGGCTCTCCGCTGAACCTAACGCCGTTCCATGGACCTGCTCGGAAACGATACCTGAGTTTTTCCAGAGGGTCAGCTGTGGGTATCCTTGAGTATAGATCCACACAGTAAAGTTGCCTTCGGAAGGATCTCCGTCGCTCTTGGGTGTTGTTAAACACACCCGATTAAAGGTCAATACCACTTTGACTTATTTAAATTACCCTAATTGATTGGACGGACGAAGTATCATAATTCTCAAATTTTTAAATAACCCAAATTGATTTGATAGAAAGTTTGCCTGGCCGCTAAATGCATGTTCTTCAAATAATTTTTATTTTTTACATTTTCACCCCTCCTAGTTAAAACTTATTTTTAATTTATATCCTTTTTATTTTGAAAAATTACTTTCAACCCTTATTACTTTAATATATATATATATATATATATATATATATATATATATATATATATATATATTTCAATTTGATATATATTAATCAGTTTTGCAGAAATCGACATTGGCGGCCGATTAATCGGCGATTAATCGTTTGACAGTCTCGAACCGATTACGATATGGGTTTTTGACGGAAATTGTTCAAAATATGTCATTTCCTGTTAAAAGAAAAAAAAAATGATTATTTGTAAAAACACGATAATTTGAGATTTTTCTGACAGTTTTCCTACATGTAAACTTAAAATTTTAACGGTTAAACTTATAACTTTCTAAAAACATTGAAAAATTAAGGAAAATAATTTCAAAGGGTTTGTCCATAAGAATACTCCCCACCCCTTCTATTTATCTTCATCACTGTGTAATTGACCCCATCTTCATCACTATGCAATTGACCCCATTCTTCTATTTTGTATTTAAGTGCGATATAAATGAATACCACAACCATAAAAAATAATATAACTATACTTACATTTATGGTCTTTTAACTTGCAACATTTACAATAAATACCCTATCTTTATTTTAGTGTGGTGTAAATGAACAATCAAATCAAAATAATATAACTATACTTATATTTATGGTCCTTTAACTTGTCATACATTTATAATAAATACCATATCTTTATATCTTTATTTAAGTGCGGTGTAAATGAATACCACTACGATCAAATCAAAATAATATAACTATACTTACATTTATGGTCCTTTAACTTGCCGTACTTTTACAATAAATACCTTATTTTTATATTAGTGTTGTGTAAATGAAGACTAGTACGATCAAATCATTACGTAAAAGTTGATTTACAAGAATCACATCTAATGCGTACAGTTTTGTCAGTTTGGCATCACTACAGATCAGAACGTGCCGATGGATGGGAAATATTGTATAATGCTCGACTTAATGCATATATTCCACCGAATGCACCACGTAATAATTGTAATATTCATGTAGTTGATGTTCTTGATAATTAATAAAATTAAAATATGACCGTGTTTGACAAAATAGTAGTAATTGAAAATGATAATTTTATTTGCTATAGTTGTGAGAAAATATCATATTATATTTTTTATTGTTCGTTTAATTGTTTGTAATCGTTATTTTTTATTGTTCGAAACGTAAATAAGCTCGAATTTAAACCAAAAAGTTTATAAAAAACCATGTAATTTTAAAAAAATAACGAAAAAAAATGTTAACCACCTTGAATTATACCAACAAATATATAAAAATAAACTCTACCGCGAGCGTTATATTTTCAGTTAATGTCTCTGATAATTAATAAAATTAAAATATGATAGTGTTTGACAAAATGGTGGTAAATAAAAATGCTAATTTTATTTATTATAGTTGTGAAAAAATATCATATTTTTTTATTGTTCGTTTAATTGTTAATGATCGTTATTTTTTATTGTTCGAAACGTAAACAAACTTGAATTTAAACTGAAAATTTTATAAAAAAACATGTAATTTAAAAAAAAATAACGAAAAAAAATATATGATATTTTATTTTTTATTGTTCGTTTAATTGTTAATGATCGTTATTTTTTATTGTTCGAAATGTAAACAAACTCGAATTTAAACCGGAAAATTTATAAAAAAAACCATGTAATTTAAAAAAAATAACGAAAGAAAATTTTAACCACTTTCAATTATACTGAAATTATATGAAATCTATACAAACTCTCTATTAAAATAAATAACAAATAAAATTGTTATGAAATAATAATAATAATAATAATAATAATAATAAATTGTTAAAAGAAAATAAAAAAGAAAAAGAAAAAATAAGTTAATTCTTTTATATGAAATAAAGACTAAAAATGTAATATTCATAAACCATTAGGGAACAAAAATGAAAATCAACCGAAAGCACAAGGACCATTTCTGTATTTTACTCAAAACAAAAAATATTCAAAAAGTCGCCGGTGATATGTCATTGGTATTACATTTTAAATAGTTTTTTAATTGAATTTACTAGTAAGAGATTGTTTGTTTTTTCTCTGCAGATCCGCAGGAGGTCTTCTGTCTGCGCGGCGCAGACTATGCGCAGATTTATAAGTTTGAAGTGCGTTTGTTTTTCTGAAGTGCGCAGATATAAAAACATCTGCGCGAGGTCTTCACCACACAGATATGGGCCAACCTCTTCTAAAGTCTGCCAAGTTCATTTGACCTATAAAAAAACACGCGTTTTATTTTTCCGCCTCCATTCGTCCAAGCCTCCCGTCTTTGTACACAGATAGCTCGACAACTCCATCTTCACTCCAGCAAGTTTCGCCGACTGAGTGTCACCTCCGATCTGTCGCCGCACCGCCCGTCGCCACCCTCCTCTCCGATCGCATCTCCGGTCGTCGCCTCCGAACAGCAAGCGCCACTTCTCGATTGTAGCGAACAGGTATGTCGTCGTCGTCCCTCCTCTCTCTTTCAATTCAATTTCAATTCAACTTCTTGTTTGATTTGCATCATTGTTTCCCCGAAAATATTAATTTTGTTGGGTATTCCTTCATATTCAAATCTTGGAGGTGTATAATTTATCATATATTCTTGCTAAAATTGAAAATACTACTTGTAAACAATTCGCAGCAAGCTGTCATTCTTGTTAAACCTTACCTGCAAGCTGTCTTCCTGTTTTTTCACACCTGGGATCTATAATTTTTTTTTATTGGAAGCCAATAAACGTAACTACCAAGCAAAAGATAACATATTCTTTTGTTAATTGTGAATGTGTATATGATTGTTGATTGTGTATATGTATATGGTTGTTGATTGTGTATGTATATATGATAGTGTATATGAATAAGATTGTTGATTTGTGGATGATATAGTTTGCCTAGAATGTGTTGAAATCAAAGCTTTTTCTTGAAATAATGTTATGAAATAATGATGTTAGTTGTTGAAATCAAGCTTTTTCTTGATGAAAATTCTTATTTGCTAAATATGATAGTGGTTTAATAACGATTTTTAAAATTCAGTGATCATTTAGAATAGATAAAAGTATGTTTGCTGCTTATATTAGCTTTTGAGCAAATTTAGAAAAGTCGTCCCTATGGTATGTCCAAAAATATGCATCGGATCCCTTCTGACTTTTTTTGACCATTTTTATCCGCTCAAGTATCACGTGTAATACTTTTTGTCCCTAATGTAAATGCCTCCGAATTTTTGTCTGTTAAGCTTTCTCATGTTTGAAAAACATGAGGGCATATTTGTCTTTTTAGATTTGCTAGTAATCAATCATCACTGTATTTCATTTATAATTCTCATAAAGACGAATGTAGTGGTTTCGAGAAAAAGCATTGTTGATTTTGGTTGTGTATATATATATGATTATTGATTGTGTACATTTATATGATAATGTATATGTATATGATTGTTGATTTTGTATGTATATGATAGAAAGCATCAAAAAGAGTCATAAGTTTTGTTTATTTGATAAAAGTAAAGTTTTTGTCGTTAGTGAAGTTTATTTGATTTATAAAGTTTTTTAGAAAACTTTGAATTAAAACACTCTAATTGAGGTTATTTATAATTGAATAAAAAGTTCAACATTATTGTGATTGAAAATAAAACAAAATTACAAATGTGTCGTAAAACAATATTGTCGTGAAAATAAAAACTTTTTCTTGAAATAATGATGTTACTTATTGATTGTTTATTGTTATTTGGTTATTAGAGATGGGAGAAAAACAACAATGGACCAATGAGCATTTAAAATGCTTATTGGATACTTGTATTGAAGAAGTAGAGAGTGTTGGTAGAAAAGGATTGAGTTTGCAGAAAGATTCATGGATAAGGCTTGGAAGAGTTCTTAAGGAGAAATTTGGGGTTGAGTTGACTCAAAAAAAAAATGAAAAACGCATATGACAATCTGAAAGCCAAATACACTGGATGGGTATATTTAAAAAACAAAACCGGTAATATATACAATTCTCAAACAAACACTTTTAATTTAACAGCCGAGGAGTGGGATGATTTTAAGAAGGTACATATACATTAATATACAATAATATATATATATATATATATATATATATATATATATATAACATTTACATTTGAAGTTGCCAAATATTCTTATACTATTTCTTGGTACATTTGGATTTAGGGGCATCCAAAAGCTGCTTCTTTGAGAACAATTCTACTGCCTTTTCCAGATCTTTGTGCACGTCTTTTTGATGGAAATAGTGCTACTGGTAATTTTAGGAGTTACTCAACCCAATCATCATCAGTAGCTGGCGCATCCTCCTATCGTGTTCCACCACTTCAGATCACCGCCACCCCTTTTGATGCAATGGATGATGATGGTGTTGACACTTCTCATCATAAGCCACCACGTTCTGCTGCTTCACCTTCTGCTGGTTTACCTTCTGCTGCTTCACCTTCTGCTCATTCACCATATACTGCTACACCATCCGGTAACCCCAACAAAAGGGCTAAACCCTCAACTCCTGTAGCTCCTAGTGCCTCACCGTCTGCTTCTTCACCTGATGGAACTTCTGTTACTGCTGACGATTTAGCATTTGAAATGAAGAAAACTCTACAAAGTTTGACTAAAGGGTATACATGTAGCACCTGGTTTCCGGTATGTGAATTTTATTTGAGTATTGCCCTATTTTAGCCTTGGACTCGGCGAGTCACAAGGTCCGACTCGCCGAGCAGGGACGAGACACAGGACACGTTTAAGTTGGCGACTCGGCGAGTCCATATCCTGGACTCGGCGAGTCACCGCTGTTGGATGAAACCCTAAGTTTCAGGGGTTTGCCCCCTATTTAAACCTCATATCTGCCCCTTGCCAGCCCCCATTCACCCCCAGAGCTCCCAACCCTCGTCCTAAGCTTGTTTCTTGTGTAGTTGAGGCTCTTGTGTGCATTCTTGAAGGTTTTGAGGCAAGAAGGGGAAGGAGATCAAGAGAAAGGAGAGCCATCCAAGCATCATTGTGTTTTTCAGCTGTATCATTGAGGTATATCTCGTTTTTCCCCTGTTTCTATGCTTAAGATTTCATTTGAGACACTCTTGAGCAATTCCTCAAGCTTGTTTGTGCTTAATGTTTCGTAATAAGTGGATTGGCCTTTAGATCTAGGCAAGATTGAGCTCCAGGAGCTCAGATCTGTTAGCTTTATGGCCCCATGTGGCTTGTTCATCCTAGATCTACCCTTTTGAGGCATTTTGAACCCTAAAATCCATATTAGTGAGTATCCACACGTAAAGTTGGAGACTTTACGTGTGATTTGTGTCCTAGAAGTCCAGATCTATGAATGGCATGGACTGAAATCGAGTAAATCGGTGTATTTGGTGGATGCATGGCGACGACTCGGCGAGTCGTATAGGTGACTCGGCGAGTCTGGTCGCGAGTCACCGAATTGGTCCCTTCATGATGCATCGAGTTGAGCCGTGAGTCACAGGGGTGACTCGGTGAGTTGGGAGCTGAACTCACCCATGTTAGGACTCAGCGAGTCAATGCCCTGACTCGGCGAGTCCAAGGCAATCTTCATAGATCAAGAACAGACTCGGCGAGTTGTTCATACAACTCGGCGAGTCTTAGCATAAGTGTTCTTCGGATGAAGGTGAACTCGACGAGTTGTTCATACAACTCGGCGAGTAGGATGAAGAGGTTGAACGTCAGTCTAGAAGATGAACTCGTCGAGTCATAGCCTAACTTGACGAGTAGAAGCAGGGACTCCGGACAATCGTCTGATAGGGACTCGACGAGTTGGAGAGCCAACTCGGCGAGTCGGGTCAATTGAAAGTTGACTCTAACATTGACTTAGAGCTAGACCAGGGGTAAAATGGTCATTTTACCTAAAGGACAGTTAGCAGTGTTTGATTGAGTATCTTGTGGGAATTGCAGCCGGAGGACTCCCGGAGCAGCAGCAGTCAGTTAGTTCCCGATCAGTTCAGCAGCTACTTTGAGGTGAGTTACCTTCCAGTAGTGGTGGGTCTAAGGCCACAATGCCGGCCCACCAGTAGGAGACGTATGATAGATGATTGTCTTTGTGAAATCATCTAGGTTTGCTATTTACCTGTTATGTTATATGCTATCATGATACGTTATATGCAATAGTAGTAGAGTTCGGTTGTTAGGACCGCTGGGTAGTCAGACACCCCAGAATTATCTGACTGTATGTGATGGTATGCTTGTATGTTGGTCTGTTATGTTATGCGATAGAGGTAGCGGGAGGGGACCAGTCCCCGAGGATCGGTTGTTAGGACCGATGGGTAGTCAGCACCCCAGAATGGCTTGACACGGGTAAGACGACACCCCAGAATGGCCGTATGGGTAGGTCGGCACCCCAGAATGGCCGTACCGGGTAGTCAGGCACCCCAGAATAGCCTGGCAGTACGTATGTTATGTGTTTGTATGGTATGTGGTACGTTGGGGGAACTCACTAAGCTTTGTGCTTACGTTTATAGTTTTGTTTTCAGGTACCTCTGCACCGAAGGGGAAGGAGCCGGCGCGGTAGCGGCACGTCATACACACACTCTTCGGTTTCCGCATTTACGAGATTTACTGGGATTGTACTCTGATATTTTGATGGGATGTATGGTTTGACCTTTTAGAACATGGTTGCAATGTGTTATGGTGTGATCAAACAATGTTTTTATTTATTAATGTTTTCTAAAGTAATATTTTAAAATGAAACTTTCGGACGTAAAAATTGGGTCGTTACAATACAATTCCTCAGTGTTTAGAGAAGTTAGAGGTCCTTCATTTAGGCCCTACAGATCCTTTACCCTTTGTCGCATATCATATTTTTGGAGGAACCATAAACATGAGAGAGATGTGGATGCATTTGCCCGATGTTCCCGAGATATTACGAGGGTGGCTTGAGATGATGGGTACCAGTTTAGGAGTTTTGAAGGATGGGAAGATTGTTCGATGATTTTCTAGTGTTGAAAGTATTTGTTATGTCTTTTTGCCCTTGTTGCAACTACTTTGTTAAATGTTTTTGCCTTTGTTGGAACTATTTTGTTAGGTCTTTTTTCCCTTGTTGGTACTTGAAATATGATTAATGGAATGTTTATTTGATACTTGAAATATGGTTTATGTAATGTTATTTTGGCTTGAAATATGATAAATGGAATGTTTATTTGATACTTGAAATATGGTTTATGTAATGTTTTTTAAAGTTCTACTTTGTTGATTTTAGGTTCATATGGATCACGATCAAAAGTTACTTCTCGTAATTCTAATGTACCTATACATCCGTTATTTTTGGAAGAGGGGTGTGAAACGATTGCGGGATAATGATTCGGAAATGACGGGACACGAATACACATTGGAGTTATTACACCGTAATCGTTTACAATGTGTTGAAGTATTACGCATGTCCCGTGAATCTTTTGTACGACTATGTGCTCATTTTAAAGCAAATTACTCATTAAAGGACAGCAAACATGTATCAGTTGAGGAAAAGATGGCTATGTTTTTGATGATGATCGGATATAATCAACGTTACGTGATTATCAAGCGGAAATTTCAACACTCGAAGCAAACAATTCATAAATTTTTTTATGAAGTGTTGGAAAAAATGATGCTTTTCGCACAAGATGTTATAGTACCAACATCTTTTAATCCGAATCCAAACATTCCAGGACATAATAGAAGGCTACGAAGGGTTTTCAAAGGAGCAGTTGGTGCACTTGATGGCACTTTGATACATGTTGTTGTCCCTGCTAAGAAACAAGACTTATATAGAAGTAGGGGAAAGGGAGATTGCTACCAAAACGTATTGGCAATTTGTGACTTCAATATGATTTTTACATTTGTTGTGACCGGGTGGGAAGGGGTAGCGCATGACTCTAGAATATTATCAGAAGCAGTAACCGATCCACAAGTATCATTCCCGTTTCCACCACCAGGTAAATTTTTGTTTTTTTTAAATATTTTTATTTTAATTTGAAAATTGATTAGTGTTTTGCATTTTTTTCAGACAAATATTATCTTTGTGATGCCGCGTATGCACACACTCGAGGATTTATGGCCCCTTATCGTAATGTGAGGTATTGGCTTGGAGATTTTCGTCAAAGACGTGCATTGACCAATAAAGAAAAATTTAACCATGGACATGCAAAACTTCGGAATGTCATTGAGCGTGCTTTTGGCGTGTTGAAAGCACGCTTCCCTATATTGAAGAGGATGACACCATTCCCGTTTGTGACACAAAGAAACATTGTCATGGCATGCTTCGCACTTCATAATTATATAAGGAAAGAAGGATTGAATGATGAGTATTTCGCACGATACGATGAACCCAATGTCCCGTTTCGAAATAACAATGTGGCCATTGATGATGATGAAGACGGGATTCCAACACATGGTACTGCAGCAGACCATGAATATATGACTCAGTTACGTGATGAAATTGCTGATCAGTTGATGCACAATATAGATTGAATTGTTTTAAATGAAATTGTTATTTTAAAACATTTTTTTTATTGTATGACTAATTTAGTTGCATGAATTTTATTTTCAATGTTATAAGACTATTATTATTAAAATTTTGGTGTTGAAAAATCATTTTAAGTTTGTAAAATAATTTTATTTAAAATTCAGTTTATTTCAGCAGCTTGCGGACGTTAAAAAACAAACAGTCTTCTTATTGCAGACTGCAGACGTTTGGTCCACCTCTTCTGCTGCAGAGGCTTGCAGATGTGGTCCGCATACTGCAGATATTTTGGCTTCAGAAAAACAAACAGCACCTAAGTATTAAACAGGCGGTTTTGACTTTTTTTTCTGGGTGTATTTAAAATCCCCCGGGTCATGACTAATGTCTGAAAAGTCAAGCTGCATTTGTTTTGTTGAGTTTATGACCAAAATAGCCAATTTAGTATAGTTACAAAAATATTTTCCAAACCGTGTTTTTTTTGTTTTTCTTATATATTTTCATTTTTCTTGCTATTTATATTTTATTTAAATATTAGGTTTTTTAATTTCAGTATTTTACATTATTTTTAAATATCAATTTTTTATTTTCTTTATTTCAGTTTTTTTTTCTTTTTTTAACATATGTTTAACATAATATAAAAAAACACACAATCCCATGCATTATTCGTCAATTAAAAATAAAATATTTTAAGACAATTATGGATTTGGGTAAGAAAAAAAAAAAACACCTTATTATTTTCTCTTTTGTAAATACAAATCAAAAATAATCTTAGATGGATATATATATATATATATATATATATATATATATATATATATATATATATATATATAGTTTCAAAAAATATTTATCAATCTAATATAATTTCAAAAATATTTACCAAATTGGTGTTTTTTTCATTTTTCTTCTGTTTTACGTTTTTTTCTTACTGTTCTTATTTCATTTAATTGTTGTTTTTTTTTATTTCAGTTTTTTTACTGTTTTTTTTTAAATATCATTTTGTTACTTTTTTTAATATGTTTAAAAAAGTATAAAAAACAAAAAAAGAACACATAATTTCATGCATTATCATCAATTAAAAATAAGATATTTTAACTTATTACACTATTATAAATGATTATTGTCACCCTTTACAAATAATCACATTAAACGTAGATTCTTTTTCGTTTCGATAGAAATCTTTCTACTAGTAATACAATGTTTAATTTTCTATTATAAATGATTATTGTCACCCTTCACAAATAATCACATTAAACGTAGATTCTTTTTCGTTTCGATAGAAATCTTTCTACTAGTAATACAATGTTTAATTTTTAAATGACGTCAAAACATATAGGTTAAACGTATATTAAAAATGATATGATAGTCTTTTAATAAATTATGTTAGTCATTGCCAACTTTCAATAATACTTTAATATCCTTATAAATTTCAAAATTATATATATATATATATATATATATATATATATATATATATATATATATATATATATATATATATATATATATGTCTAAAATTATAAAATTTGCATATATATATATATTCAAATTTATATTTTGATGAAGTCTAAATCAGTTTAATATTAAAAAACTTATCAAAAGCAAAACTACCCTTTCCAATTTCTTTTGAAAGAGATAAAAACAAACAAACCCATATAACCATATTAGATATAATATTTATAAAAATATTAAAAAGAAAGGTACAACATATCTATTTAAAATATTTTTTCCTTTTCTTCACTACCTCGTAGGTAATTTAAGTAATGAGGATGGGTTTCGTGAACATAAAGATTATTTATTATTTTGATTTCTATTTACAAAAGAGAAAGTAATAAGGTGTCTTTTTTTTCTTACCGAAGTCCATAATTGTCTTAAAATATTTTATTTTTAATTGACAAATAATGCATGGGATTGTGTGTATTTTTATATTATTTTAAATATATGTTAAAAAAAGAAAAAAAAACTGAAATAAAGAAAAAAAATTGATATTTAAAAAAAATGTAAAAAACTGAAATTAAAAAAAAAACTGATATTTAAATAAAATAAAAACAACAAGAAAAATGAAAATATATAAGAAAAACAAGAAAAACACTAGTTTGGTAAATATTTTTGAAGCTATACTAAATTGGCAAATATGTTTTTCAATAACACTATTTTGGTCAAAAACTCTTGTTTTGTTTTTGCCACTTGACTTCGTCAATTTAATTAGGGGTAGATATGTAGTGATGTCTTTATCTTTAAATGTCATTTGTCTTGTCTTATTTCTTTTATCTTGCATCTCCTCAAATTTATAATTGTTCTCTATTGAACCATAATTAACTAATTAACTAATCGTGAGCATCGGAAATCATAACGATCAACGGCAAAAAAAAAAAAAATAGATGTACACTTTTATATTGGACGCATACATACCGAATTATACCAAAAAATCCACCTTTTAAAAAAAAAACCATCATTTTTTTCGTTTAAAATTTTTTTAGGCCATGTTTTTTATTATTATTAAAAAAAAAAAAAAAAAAAAAAACTGAATATACCGTTGTTCACGATTTTCCGTCATTTTTCCATAGAGATCTATGATGATATATAAAAAAAAAACTTTTTTTTTCGAAAAAAACTAACTTCATTTTCTTTAATAAAAAAAGCTAACGTCAGTTTTTTATAGAAATAAATTAATAAATATATCAATATTCATATTTTTTGTACTTTTTAAACATAGATTCATATTCATATTAAAAAAAAACGATATTTCAGTTCAGATTCACATTGTGAACTTGTTCAGATTCATATTGTAAATCTGTTCAGATTCACATTGTGAATCTCCTCAAATTCACAGTGTGTATAATAATAAATCAGATTCACAGTGTGAATCTGAACTGATCGGAGCTTTTTCACATTGTGAATGTTAAAATTTGAAATATTCACAGTTTAGATTCACAATGTGAATCTACACTGATCGAAGTTTTTTTTTTTTTTTTTTTTTTTGTGAACCGTCTCAGATTCACAGTGTGCATAATAGTAATTCAGATTCACAATGTGAATCTGAACTGTTTGAGATTTTTCATATTTTGAATGTTAAAAATTGAAATATTTACAATTTAGATTCACAGTGTGAATCTACACTGTTCGAGGTTTTTTTTTTTTTTTTTCAATCGGTGTTGATGTTTATTAATAGAGTACAAAAAATTATTATTTTTGGTATAATTAGTTTTTTTATAAAAAAAAAGCTTAAATATTGAAAAAAATAAGAGAAGTGGGTTTTTTTCGAAAAAAAATCAGTTTTTATATATCATCATCGATCTCTATGGAAAGAGGACGGAAAATCGTGAACAACGGTATATTCGGATTTTTTTTTCGATAAAAAATTTGGCCTAAAAAAATTTTAAATGAAAAAAGGAAGTGAGTTTTGTTATAATCCGGTACATGTACGTCTATTATAGAAATTTACAACCCTTCCTTTTGCCGTTGATTGATTTAAATTTCGACGCTTTGGATTG